CCGCCCCCCCCCCTGCTACTCTCCCCTTCTCTAGAAAATTCTACAGCAGGAGGAAGGAGAGATAAAAGAATCTGTGCCTGGCTCGGGCCCAATGTACCCAGGACACACTCGGTTTGCGGCCTGCCCAAAGGATTAAATTATTTCTGCTCTACAGGTGGGTAAATTCCCAAGATCCCAGGCAACAGGCTCGTGTTTCACGGGTGGGATTGGTGACCTCACAGGGAGCGACTGGTTGCTATGATGCGCACTGACCACCAGGGGGCAGATGCTCAATTCAGGAGCTGTCCCCTGGTGGCCATTGAGTTCTCACAGGGAGAGCACAGCACAGCCAAAAGCCGGGCTCAGGGCTGGCTAGCACAGCAGCAGTGGCAGGACCCTCTCCTGCCTCTGCGGCAGCACTAAGGAGCAGCAAGCTGAGCGATAAGGAGTGAGGGGCCCTGGACTTTGAGAGCACTGGGCCTCTAGTTAGTAAATAAAACAAGGGTTACTTAAATGTAGCACAGTGTAATCGGTCTTTCTAAAAGGCACTTATTTTAAAAATTCTGTCCATAGAAATAATTTAAAAGATTGTTTAATTGCATTTTCATAGCTCATCTTTCAAATAAATAGTACCTTTAAATCTATGCTTCTATTTCTATTTAGTTTGTTATCTGGTTGATTAGATATTACATATAAGTGAGATCGTATGTGTCTGACTGGCTTATTTCACTTAACCTAATTTCCAGATTCACAGCTATCAGAGGGGAGGGCAGTTCGAAAACTGGGTGAAAAAAGATGAAGAGATTGAGCATCCCACCAAAAACTATACATTTCCTTCCTTCCTTCCTTCCTTCCTTCCATCCTTACTTCCTTCCTTCCTTCCTTCCTTCCTTCCTTTCTTCTTTCCTTCCTTCCTTCCTTCCTTTGACAAGCACACTGTGACTTGCTTCAAACTCTAAGATCTTCAGTTTAGGAATATTTTCTTCAGTTGACCCCTTGATCATAATTCCCATAATTATTCCCTTTTGTAGTTCCCTTTCTCCCCTTTTTTTGCCAGTTGAATATTCATGATATCTTCTTAAATCATTCATGAACCTTATCTTGATGTGAATAGTAATCTTATTTTATAAGCAAATAAAATTTGGTATTCCAGTTCACTCTTGTGCTCTATTCTAATTTTAAAACCCATAAAAAGTGACATTATCTTTAAATTTATTTTAAATCAAATATATGCCTTTTCCAGTGAATTTTGCTCATGAATATAAATAAACTAGAGGCCCAGTGCACAAAAATTTGTGCACTTGGTGGGGGGAGAGGGGTCCCTCAGCCCAGCCTGTGCCCTCTTGCAGTCTCGGACCCCTCGGGAGATAATGCCCTGCTGGCTTAGGCCTGCTCCCAGGTGGCAGAGGGCAGGCCCAACCCCTAGGTGCAGCCCCTGGTCGGGCTCAGAGCAGGGCCAATTGGGGAGTTGGGGCACCGCCCCCTGTCCTGCACAGAGCAGGGCGATTCGGGAGGTTGTGATACCACCCTCAGTCACGCTCAGGGTAGGGCTGATTGGGGGGTTGGGGCACCGCCCCCTGTCACACTCAAGGCAGGGTCTATAGGGAGGTTGCGGCGCCACCCCCTGTCACGCACAGAGCAGGGCCCATCAGGGGGGTTGGGGCTCCTTCCCTGGCAGTTAATTTGCATATCTCGCTGATTAGCCAATGGGAAGGGTAGCAGTCGTACACCAATTACCATGTTTCTCTTTTATTAGATAGGATTGCAAATAATATAGTCCCCCCTTATCTGAAATTCCGCTATTTGTGGTTTCAGTTACCTGTGGTCAACTGTGGTCTGCAAATATAAAATGGACCGTTAGAGACATAAACAATTCATATTTAAATTGCTCATCTTCTGAGCACTGTGATGGAATCTCATGTCATCCATCTCTGTTCCATCTGGACCTGAATTATCCTTCTGTCCACACTGTATATGCTACCTGCACATTAACACCAAGTAACTAAGTTAACAGATCAACTCTTGAGGTATTGCAGTTCTCATGTTCAAGTAACTCTTATTTTATTTACTAATAGCTCCAAATGATAAAAGCAGTGATGCTGGCAATTTGAGTATCCCAGAGAGAAGCTGTGAAGTCCTCCTTTTAACTGAAAAGTTATGTATACATAGGAAAAACACCACAGTAAGTATAGAGTTCAGTACTATCTGAGGTTTCAGACATCTACTGAGGTGTTGGAACATATTCCCTCTATATATGGGGACTACTGTACATCTTATTAGTCATCTTAAGATGTTTCTACTTCTTCAATTCTGATTATTCTCAAACTCCCAGTGATATCTTCATTTCCACTTTGCAATATCCATTATTTTAATTAGCCTGGAATGTCTAATTTGATTTAACTTATTTTAATACGTCTTTGGTGTTGCTGTTTTCTAATTTTTATTTGACTCTTAGATTTATAATGTTAACTTTCATAAATTTGACTTAGAGAGAAAAACTAGTAATGTTATTACATAATGAATCTTTTATATAATTTATATACTTTTAAATTTCATTATTTCTTTTTTTACAGAGCATTGACAAAAAGACTAGGTCAGAAATAGAGGCAAGTTCAATTACTTGGAAATACATTTTATAGGTACACAATGAAGAAAAACATGATGTTTGAGCTTGGTTTGAAAGAAGAAGGAGTTTGATTAAGGTGAGATGCAGTAATAATGCCTTTGAGAAGACTACTATGAATAAATTATAGGCACAAAGCAATGAAATAAATTAGAAGCTGTTAACTATTTAGAAGACTTTCTTCTTTCATTTTACTCTGACTCATCCAAACTTCTATTTCGTTGAGAGAAATATTATCCTTTTTACAAAGTCGTTGAAAGCTTGTTTCACTTGCTTATTCCTCAGGGTGTAAATGAAGGGGTTCAGCAAGGGTGCCACAGAAGTAGTGAGCACTGAGACACCTTTATTTATGGCCACCTCATCCTTTGCTGAGGGCTTGATGTAGATGAAGATGCAGCTACCATAGGTGATGGAGACCACAATCATGTGGGACGAGCACGTAGAAAAGGCCTTTTTTCTTTGTTGGACAGAGGGGAATCTCAAAATTGTCTGAATGATGTATGTGTAGGACAGAAACACACACACGAGGGTGATAATGAGAGCAAATACAGCTACAACAATAACCATTTGTTCAGATACCCATGTATCTGAGCATGAGATCTTTAGGAGGGGACCTGTATCACAGATAAAATGATCAATGGCATTGGAGTCACAGAATTCAAGATGGAGGCCCCAGCCAAGGGGTGGGAGAATGATCATCAAGCCAGACAGCCAACAGCAGAGGATTAATAAGGTACATACCCTATTGTTCATGATGGCCATGTAATGAAGCGGTTTACAGATAGCAACATAGCGGTCATAGGACATGGCTGCCAGGAGAAAAAATTCTGTTGCTCCAAATAAAATAACAAAAAATATTTGGCTTACACAAGCATTATAGCTAATGGTATTATCCCCAGTTGAT